AAAAAATAAAAAGCCAAGACCAAACAGATACATACTTTATACCAAAGATGTTTACAGAAGTTGTTTTTATAACTCATTGCCTAGCAGTGATACTGTATGATGCTTTACATAATGGGCTGCAAAAAACTTGTCAATTTTTGTAGATTATTCAAAATTCAGTAAAGAAGTGCATGACCTAAAGGAAGTCTTTGTGTAAAGCAAATGATCCTTCATTAAAGTGTTTATCTTCTTATACCTGCTTCCTGAGTTCAAAATCTTCAGATTGAGTTGTCTTGAAGTACAACCCGTGCAATGACATTTGTTCGTACCCAACTGCCTTCTGCAGAGTGGTTGTGGAAGTTAAATCGAGAGCCTTGATTCTAAACTAGGTCTCCTTATAAAACCGGGTAGTTCCTTTGGCTCCCTAATACCTGCTTAATGGTTTATGTTTATATTTTCCTACTGACGAACGGAACGTAGTAAAGGATGGTTCTCAACTGCCGGTTTGTGAGGTCGAGGGGAGTTCCCAGCCGTGGCTTTAATGCATGTTGTTTTCTGCTCATTGTGGTAAAATATACATGACCTAATATTTATCATTTTCACCATTTATAAGCGTGCAATTCTTTGGCATTGAGTACACTCATAATGTGTGCCCGTCCCCAGCAGGAACTGTGTACCCATGAAACGTTGACTGCTTCTTTCTCCCTTCCCCCTTCCCTGGTAACTTCTGCTCTACTTTCTGTCTCTGGGAGTTAATGTACGTTGGTTTTTAAAAAATTCTACTTTTTTATTGTGGTAAAAAACATATAACATAAAACTTACCATTTTACCCATTTTTAAGTGGACAGTTCAGTAGTGTTAAGTATATTCACGTTGTTGTGTGACAGGTTTCCAGAATCTTACCATCTTGCAAATCTGAGGCTCCGTGCACATGAAACAGCTCCGCTTTCCTCGCTCTCCTAGCCCTCGACAACCACTCTGCTTTCTGTTTCTGTGAATTTGACGGCTTCAGATACTTGGTATGAGGGAAATCACGCGGTATTAGTCTCTTTGTGGCTGGCTTACTTCACGTAGCACAATATCCTCACAGCTCATGCATGCTACAGCACGTGACAAGATTTCCTTCCTTTTGAAGGCTGAATAGTGTTTCGTTATGTATGGGAGGGCTGTCTGGAACGTATCCAGCCACGTAAACGTTCTAATTATATTAACGATGGCTGGATACGTTCCGGACAGCCCTCATATACGGCATTTTGTTGATCTGTTCGTCGGGCAGACACTTAGGTTGCTGCACGTCTCAGCTGCTGTGAACGGGGACGTGCACGTATCTCTTTGAGACCCTGCTTTCGGTTCTTTTAGACACATACCAGAGGTGGAATTGCCGGACCTATTTTTAATCTTTTGAGAAGCCTCCACACTGTTGTCCATAGCAGCGGTACCATTTAATAATCCCATCACCAGTGTGCTTAAGTTTTTCACATCCTTGCCAATTCTCGCTACTTTTTTGGTGTTTTTTGATAGTAGCCATCCTAATGGCCATGACTGTAGATTGCTTTTTTATAATTTCTTTTCCTTCTCTTTGCCCTCAGCCTGGCGTGGGAGGGCAGAATCGTGGTGGTTGGATTCGCGGGAGGAGACATCGCTTCCGTGCCAGCCAACCTTCTGCTCCTGAAGAACGTCTCCGCCATGGGGGTGGTCTGTGGCCAGTACAAAGACAAGGACTTCCCCGTCTTCTCCAAGACCCTGTCCTCCGCTCTTGAGTACTGCCAGCAAAGGCGCGTCCAGCCGCACGTCGGGTCGGTCTTCAAGCTGGAGGAGGTGAGATGCCGTTAAGGGATAAGAGACTCGATGCAGCTGAGGCCAGGAAGTAACTGCTTCCGACTCCGGATAGCTCTCGCTAGGTAGCTGCAGCCTTCCCTTCGCGGAATGGGAAAGCAAAAATACAGCGCAGAATCGCACGGCCTCGCAGGCTCGGGGTCACGGGTTGTGTGGCCGCAGCTCGGCCCCGTGTGACACTGAGTCCGGGAAGGCCGTGTGACATTGGATTTTGAGGGCTCTCTCTGTCACCGGCATCTCAGGTGGAGGGGAGCTGCGGCATGTTAGCAAATGATTTACAAGTGTTGACGCGAACCTTGAACTCCACAACGTAGAGGCTAAGAAGGAAGTGCGACTTCACCTTTGATCTTAAAACGTAGACGCTGTGAAGTGCGACCGGGTGACCTGAGCCGAGATTCTGCGAACGAAACACTAAATCATGCCTGGCGCTATCTTCAGTCTGCAGTTCATCGCTCGTCCCTCTGATTGATTTTGTCGGCCACTCGCTCCCTTTCTCGTCCCCCGCTCTCGTCAGCGTGGCCTAAGCTTCCCCAGAGCGCGGCTGTGTGCGTGCGTATGCGGCACGGCTGTGAGTGGAATCTGGTCGGCGTTCGCTGTGAAGCCCTTATTCTTTTTGGCTTCATTTGTTTTAGTGTTCAAAAACCTGCCTGGGTAGCTCCAGTCGGCCACGACGGAGCGATGTTTCGTTCAAATGCAGATCGGCGGCGCCCGGGCTGTCCGTGCCAGGCTGCATTGCTCGCCAGCCTTCCGTTTCATGCTTTTCCCCGTGATGGGGCACATGCTTTTCAAACAAGGTTTTCTTTCTTCTTTATCTCTTTGGTATGTGAGGCAAGAGGAGAGCACTCAGTGGTGAAGAGAACTGGCTGGATTCCGGCGACCGCTCTGTGCCCTGCTTTGCAGGGACCCCCTTACCTTTCTGACCTTCGGGTTCCACATCTCTAGAATGAAGGGGTGGGACGGTATCCGCGGCCTTCAGACTGTGCCTCAGGAGCCACAGTAGGGGTGTCGGGGTGGGTGGGTGTAGACTCGAGCTGCCTGGGCTCTGGGACCCCGTCTCTGCTGAGGTCTGAATAGCTGCACATTTTTTACTTTTTTGTTTGTGCTTTGCTTTTAAGAAGATATGGCTTAAAATCTTCAAAGCCACTAGTTTAGGTAGTTTCTGGATCCCCCTCTGTCTCGTGTGACTTCTAAACCGAGGTTTGCTTTTCCTGAGGCTACGCCTGTCGATAGAGGGCGAGGCAGCACAGGGGTGGAAACAAGTGTTGGCGCGGACATCTCTCCTCGCCTGATGCCTTCTAGGTGCTGCTCAGGCATGAAGGCAGGCCAGAGGTGTGCTACCGTTTGATTGTCCACGTCAAAGTTCTCCCTCCTCTTAAGCGTGAACTGACAGTGTAATTGCTAAGCGCCTGTCGGCTTCCATGTTCCTTTGTCTTTCCCAGCAAGGGCTCCGCACTCGGGATTTTTATAGTTCTCCCCACTCCGCTGGCCTTGGTGTTACCAGGTGGCTCTTTACGCCACACTCCCTGACACCTGTCAGGCATCTCATTCATACGCCATCCATTTACCATTTCTTCTGTTTCTTTAATGCGTAAACCATTTGGAGGAATAATAACAACAGTGACAGCTTGCATACATGAGGTGCTTACTGTGGGTCACGAGCCGTGCCACGCACTTTACCTGCATTATTTCCTTTAACCTTCACAGCGGCCCTTGGAGGTAGGAATCATTATCAACACATTCTGCAGATGAAAAGTCAAGCTTGTGGAGGTGACAACCCTGCCCCCTGATACGTAGTAAGTGACAGAGTGACATCCAGTCTGGATTAGTCTGGTGCCAGAACCTGGGCTCCTATGGCTATGTTAAACTCTCTCCTCAAAGAGGCCAAGAAGTCCCTTCTTAGAAACCTTATTCTATAGTGTGAAGTTTATTTATCTATCATAGAATTATGTATGTGAGAAAAACTATCTTAGAGTTAAAATGACCAGGACTCTCGTATTTTCTTGAGCAGTACCAGGACTTATATATTTTGTTCTTTTAAAATGAAGATGGTTAAATGAATATATAATTAATTTCACTGAAATTTAAAGCCTGGATAATTTTTTTCCATGTAGATTAGTTAACATACTGGAAAAAGTTGTTTATCATAACCTGTTTGGGTTTGGAAAATGACCATTGTACTTAAACACACACACAGTATCAGAAATACTGGTGCTTCCTAGCCTTTATTTTTCTCCTGAATATGTGGACTTAGAGATTTGACCCTGAAGTTGATATTAATATGACCGTAAACTTCACAACATGGCCTTTTAGCAGGTGCAGGAAGTGAACTTCCTTCGCACTCTGTTTCTCCTTCATTGACCTGTAATCGCTGTTCACGCCTGTCTTTCCGTAGAGCACAAACTCCACGCAGGCGGGGCCGTGCGTGCCTCTGCATCTCCAGCTTCTGGTGGGCGCTCACATATCCACTGAATGCCCGCTCGAGCGTGTGGGGCTGCGGGGTCAGACCACCAGAGTTCAGACCCTGGCTGTGGGCAGATTACACATCTTTGTGCCTTAATTTTTTCATCTGTAATGAGGGCAGTAATATGCCCTACTTCCTAGGGTGGTTACGAGGATTAAATAAGATAATACATGTAAAATCCCATATCGAATTTAGTAACTTTTGAAAAGCCTAACATGTCGCCGTTTTAAAATACAAGGTTTAGTTTTTTCACTTCCCCGTAACTATAACGCTTTGGCCTTG